GCCTAAGGGAAAGCCTCAATCCCCAAGCAACCCAGGCTTCCAAAGCCTTTTTGTTTTCAAGTGATCTCTACACCCATCCAACAAACATGGTGCTGGCTGGAACTCAGAACACCCGCCGATCAAGAGGCACATGGAGCCAGTCAGGTGCCCTCCAATACTTGGACTAGAAAAACAAACAAAAGGGAAAAAATGGAAAAAGAAAGAAAAAATGTTTTGTCAATGCCAAATGAAATTCTGTGCCTTATTTTCCTTTTCACCTTAATATCCTGGACAACTTCATGATCAATATTTACCTCTTTTCCAGCAAACCCCCCGCCCAGGGGACTGTACGGATGTCCCAGAAATGGATTTATGTACTGAATAGATATTTTAAGCCCCTTCCTCACACCAGCTCTCCCAGACTAAGCTCAACACTAGGCCTCTCTCAGAGGCCTGTGAGACCCTGGCTACCCAGCAGCTGTGGGGGCACAATGGAAATGAGCTGGCCTGAGTTCAGAGGCTCAGGCATTCCCAGAAGGCTACTTTCCAATGAAGAGAATTCAAAACCATCTCCCCAGAAGGTTTAGAGGGGTGGTCCAAAAGAACAGGAGGGTCTCTGGGACACCTTAGCTCCTTGACTTTAGCTTTTCACTGGTCCCTTCCATGACAAAAGTCAAATCTCTTACCCCAGTAATGAGCCTGGGCAGTGGCAAGGCTGTGTCTTCAGTCTGAGAACCAAGCCCTCCCTGAGGGAAATATTCAGTGAGCCCTCACAGCAGAGGGAGATTAGCAACTAGCTCCAGCCTTGGCAGGTGGGGGACCATTGGAGAGGCCAGGTACATTTCATTGAGAAAGCAGCTTTCCTGGCTTACAAGGAGTCTGTCACCAGGGTGAGTTAGCACAACCTCACTACAGTTGTTGTGGGGGTGAAAAGACCATGCAACCTACTGAAAGGTGAGAAACCAGGTTTCCTTGCATGAAACATTCAGATAGCCCCTTCGAGGTGGGATTTCTGTTCTGGCTCCACCTTAGGCTAGAGAATCAATGGCACTCTCTGTCCTGAACCCTGGGCCAAAGTATCCCATGAGGGCAGCTTTTCACTGGCCCATCCAGGAAGGTGTCAGAAGCCAGCACCTCTGGAATTTTGGAGGGGCCTTGGAGGCCCTGTCCACCTCTAGGGTAGGCCTTCTGGAGTGCCCCTTGTGACTAGCTTATCACCTTAGGGAGTTGGAATCTGTATCTCAGCAGTTGTGGTGGCACCATGTGAAAGCAGGCCACTTTGAGGACAAAGCCCTCCCTGACTAAGCGCACCACTAGGCAACTCCCAGAGGCCTGTGAGACCAAGGCTTCCCAGCAACTGTGGGGGCACCATGGGAATGAGCTGGCCTGAGTTCCGATGCTCAGGCTTTCTCAGAAGTCTAGCTTCTCAATAGAATTCAAACGTGTCTCCCCAGGTTTGGAGTGGCAATCCAAAACCACTGTGTGATCTCTGGAACACCACAGTTCTTTGAGGGCAGGTCTCCACTGGCCTCTTCCATGAGGAAAATCAAATCTCTCAGCCCAGCAGACAATTTTGGGCAGTGGCAAGTTGTGAGCTTCCGTCTGACAATGAAGCCCTCCCTTAGGGAATCTAAATGATCCCTCACAGCTGAGGGAGTTTAGCAGCAAGCTCCAGTCTTGGAGAAACAATGGAGAGTCCAGGTACTTTTCACTGAGAAAGCAGCTTCCAGGACTTCAGCTTTGAAGGAGTCTGTCACCAGGGTGAGTTAGCACATCCCCTCCACAGTTGTGGAGGTGAAAAGACTGTGTGACCTACTGAACGCTGAGGAACTAGTGTTCCTTGAGTGAAACTTTCAGCTAGCCCCTTCCAAGTTGGGAGGAATTTCCTAACTCCACATTAGGCTGGAGACCCAATGATTCACACTGTCCTGAACCCTGGACACAAGGGTCCTATGAGGGCAGCTTTCCACTGGCCTCTCCAGGAAGGGCTTGAGAAGCCAGCTGCTCAGGAAGTTTGGAGGGGCCCTGGAAGGCACTGTAGACCTCGAGGGTTCATAGGCCTTTCTAGAGTGCACCTAGCCACTAGTTTCTCACTTCAGGAAGTTGGATCATGTCTCTCAGCAGTGGTGGCAGCGCCAAGGAAAAACAGGATACTTTCCTCTGAGGACAAATTATCCCTGGTTAATATCACCTCTAGGCCTCTCCCAGAGGCCTGTGACATGCTGCCTCCCCAGCACCTGTAGAGGCACAATGGAAATGAGCTGGCCTGAGTTCTGAGGCTCAGGCCATCCTGAAGGCTAGCTTCTCAATGAAGGGCTTCAACCTGTCTCCCCTCAAGGTTTGGAGAGGTAGTCCAAAAGCCCTCTAAGGCTTCTGGGATACCTGAGTTCCTTGAGTACAGCTCTCCACTGGCCTCCTCCATGAGGAAAGTCAAATCTCTCAGCCTAGCAGACAAGTCTGGGCAGTGGCAAGGCTATGGGCTTCAGTCTGAGAACCAAGGAGTCCCATAGGGAACCTTTAAAGGATCCCTCTAGCTGAGGGAGTTTAGCATATAGCTCCAGGAAGTTTAGCCACTAGCTCCAGCCCTGGTGTTGGGAGACAATGGAGAATCCAGGTACTTTTCACTGAGAAAGCAGCTTTCCAGGCCTTCAGCTTACAAGGAGTCTGTCACCGGGGTGAGTTAGCACACCCTCTTCACGGTTGTTGTGGAAATGAAAAGACCATGGGACTTTCTAAACGCTTAGGAATTAGCATTGCTGAATGAAATTTCAGCTAGTCCCTCAGAGGTGGGGCGAATCTCCTTGCTCCACATTAGGCTAGAGACCCAATGACACTCATGGTCCTGAACCCTGGGACCAAGGGTGCCATGAGGGCAGCTTTCCACTGGCCTCTCCAGGAAGGGCTTAAGAAGGGCCAGGTCCTCAGGAAGTTAGGTGGGGCCCTGGAAGGTGCTGTCCTACTCTAGTTTTCATAGGCCTTCCTGTAGTGCACCTTGCCACTACTTTCTCACCTCAGGGACTTGTAACATGTGTCTCAGCAGTGGTGGCAGAGCCAGGGGAAGGTGGCTACTTTCCTCTGGGGAAAAAACTCTAAGCTCACCACTAGGCCTCCCTCAGAGGCCTGTGAGACACTGCCTCCCCAGCAGCTATGAGGGCACAGTGGAAATAAACTGGCCTGAGTTCTGAGGCTCACACCTTCACAAAGGCTGGCTTCTCAATGAAGGGATTTCACCCAGCATCCTCAGAAGTTTAGGAGGGGTGGTCCAAAAGCACTGGAAGGCCTCTGGACACCACAGTTCCTTGAGATCAGCTCTCCACTGGCCCCTTCCAAGAGGAAAGTCTAATGTCTTGTTTCAGCAGATGAGCCTGGCCTGTGGCAAGGCTGATGTCTTCAGTCTGAGAACCAAGCCTTCCCTGATAAAACCTTTCAAAGAGCACTCAGAGCTGAGTGATGTTAGCAGGTATCTCCAGCCTTGGTGGTGGAGGGCTATTGGAGGGGCCAGGTACTTTTCACTGAGAAAGCAGCTTTCTGGGCCTTTATCTCACAATGAGTCTGTCAGTGGGGTTACATAGCACACCCTCTCCACAGTTGGTGTGGAAGTGAAAAGATCATGCGAACTACTGAATGCTGAGGAACTAGTGTTACTTGAATGAAACTTTCAGCTAGTGCCTCCCAGTTGGGAGGTATGCTCTGGCTCCACTTTAGGCTGAAGACCCAATGGCACTCGCTGTCCTGAACCCTGGGCTCAACGGTCCCCTGAGGGCAGCTTTCCACTGATCTATCCAAGAAAAGCTTGAGAAGCCAGCACTCAGGAAGTTTGGAGGAGCCTTGGAAAGCCCTGTCCACCTCTAGGGGACATAAGCTTTCCTAGAGAGCACCATGTGACCCCGTTTCCCACCTCAGGGATATGGAATATGTGTCTATGGAGTGGTGGCAGCGCCACGTGAAAGCAGGCTGCATTCCTCTGAGGACAAAGCTCTCCCTAAGTTGTGAGGCAGTTCTGTGAGACCTGCCTCACAAGCAGCTGTGGGGCACCATGGAAATGAGCTGGCCTGAGATCTGAGGCTCAGGCCTTCCTGAAAGTAGCTCCTCAATGAAGGGAGTTCAACCTGTCTCCACTCAAGGTTTGGAGGGGCAGTCCAAAACTGTTGTAGCATCTCTGGGACACCACAGATCTTTGAGAACAGCTCTCCATTAGCGCCTTCCATGAGGAAAGTCATATCTCTCAGTCCAATAGACAATTACGGCAAGTGGCAATGCTCCAGGCTTCAGTCTGAGACCAAGTCCTCCCTTAGGGAAACTTTTTTTTTTCTTTTGTATATTCACTTACTGAAGTTCGATTTGCCAATATATAGCATAACACTCAGTGCTCATCCTGTCAAGTGCCCCCCTCAGTGCCTGTCGCACAGTCACCCCATTCCCCCGCCCACCTCCCCCCTTCCACTACCCCTTGTTCGTTTCCCTGAGTTAGAAATCTCTGATGTTCCGTCACCCTCACTGATATTTCCCACTCATTTTCTCTCCTTTCCCCTTAGGGAACCTTTAAATGAGCCCTCATAGCTGAGCCATTTAGCAGCTAGCTCCAGACTTGGTGGTGGAGAGGAAGTGGAGAGTCCAGGTACTTTTCAGTGTGAAAGCAGTTTTCCTGGTCTGCAGCTTACAGGGAGTCAGTCACCAGGGTGACTTAGCATACCCTCTCCACAGTTGTGGAAGTGAAAAACCATTGTACCTTCTGAACACATAGGAATTAGCATTTCTTGAATGAACTTTCAGCTTGTCCCTCCAAGTGTAGAGGTATGCCCTAGCTCCACCTTAAGACAGAGACCCAATCACATTCGCTGTCCTGAACCCTGGCCGAAGGGTCCCATGAGGGCAGCTTTCCAGACCTCTCAACGAAGGGCTTGAGAAGCCAGTTCCCTAGGTAGTTTGGAGGGGCCTGGATAGCCCTGTCTACCTCTAGGCGACGTAGGCATTCCTGGAATGCACTGTGTGACTAGCATCTCACCTCAGGGAGGTAGAACATGGGTCTCAGCAGCAGTAGCGAAGCCAAGGGAAAGTAGGATATTTTCTTCTGAAGACAAAGCTCTCCCTGATTAAGCTCACCAGTGTACCTCTCTCAGAGGCCTGAGAGACTTTGCCTACCCAGCAGCTGTGGGGGAGTAATGGAAATGAGGTGACCTGAGTTCTGAGGTTCAGGACTTTTCAGAAGGCTAGCTACCCAATAAAGGGAATTTAAACCAGTATCCCCTGACGTTTTGGAGGAGCGGTACAAAAGCACTTTAGGGCCTCTGGGACACAACAGTTCCTTGAGGGCAGGTCTCCACTATTCTCTTCCATGATGGAAGTTGAATCTCTCAGCCCAGCAGACATTTCTAGGCAGTGGCAAAGCTTAGGCTTCATTCTGAGAACAAAGCACTCCCTTAGGAAACTTTAAATCATCCCTCAGAGAAGAGAGAGTTTAGCAGCTAGCTCCAGGCTTGGTGTTGAGAGATAGTGGAGAGTCCAGGTACTTTTCACTGAGAAAGCAGCTTTCCTGGCCTGCAGCTTACAAGGAGTCTGTCACCAGGGTGAATTAGCACACCCTCTTCATGGTTGTTATAGAGATGAAAAGACTTGGAGTAGCCCTGGTGGTTCAGCGGTTTGGTGCTACCTTCAGCCTAGGGCATGATCCTGGGGACCCGGGATCGAGTCCCACATCGGGCTCCCTGCATGGAGCCTGCTTCTCCCTCTGCCTGTGTCTCTGCCTCTCTCTCTCTCTCTCTCTCTCTCTCTCTCTCTCTCTCTGTGTGTGTGTGTGTGTGTGTTTCTCATGAATAAATAAAATCTTTTTTAAAAAAATGAAAAGACCATGGGACTTATTGAACACTGAGGAATTAGCTTTCCTTGAATGATACTTTCAACTAGCCTCTCCCAGGTAGGAGGAATTTCCTAACTCTATATTAGACTAGAGACCTAATGACACTCACTGTCCTCAACTCTGGGCTCAAGGGTCGCCTGAGTGCAGCTTTCCACTGGCCTCTCCAGGAAGGACTTCAGCTCTCAGCAAGTTTAGAAGGGCCCTGGAAGGCCCTGCCCACCTCTAGGGTTCATAGGCCCTCCTGGAGTGCACCTTGCCACTACTTTCTCACCTCAAAAAGTTGGAACATGTATCTCAGCAATGGTGGTGGAGTCAAGGGAAGGAAGCTATTTCTTCTGTTGGCAAAATTCTCCCTGACTATGCTCATCACTAGGACTCTCCCAGATGCCTATAAGACACTGCCTCCCCAGCAGCTGTGAGGGCACAATGGAAATGAACTGGCCTGAGTTCTGAGGCTCAGGCTTTCCTGAAGACTAGCTTCTCAATGAAGAGAGTTCAACTAGTCTCCCCAGAAGCTTTGGATAGTCACCCAAAAGCGCTGGCAGACTTCTAGAACACCACAGTTCCTTGAGGGCAGCTCTCCACTGGCCCCTTCCAGGAGGAACATCGAACCTTTCAGCCCAGTCTAAGAGCCTGAGGATTGGTAAGGCTGTTTGCTTTAGTCTGAGAATGAAGACATCCCTGCTGTAACCTTTCAGTAAGTACTCAGGGCTGAGGGAGGTTAGCAGGTACCTCCAGCCTTGGTAGTGGAGGGCCATTGGAGAGGCCAGGTACTTTTCACTAAGAAAGCAGCTTTTCTGACCTTTGGCTTATAACAGTCTGTCACCTGAGTCACTTAGCACACCCTCTCCACACTTGGTGTGGAGGTGAAAAGACCATGCAATGTACTTAACGCTGAGGAACTAGGGTTCCTTGAATGAAACATTCACTTTGACCCTTCCGGGTGGGAGGTATGCCCTGGCTCTACTTTAGGCTGGAGACCCAGTGGCACTTGATGTCATGAACCAGGGGGCCGAGGGTCCCGTGGGCAAAGCTTTCCGTTTGTCTATCCAGGAAGGGGTGGAGAAGCTAGCAACTCAGGAAGTTTGGAGGGGCCTTGGAAAGCCCTATCCACCTCTAGGGGACATAGCCCTTCCTAGTGTGCACCATGTGACTAGCTTCTCACCTCGGGGAGATGGAACATGTGTCTCTGCAGTGGTGGCAAGGCCAAGTGAAAGCAGATTACATTTTTCTGAGGACAAAGCTCTCCCTGACTAAGCTCACTACTAAGCCTCTCCTAGTGGCCTGTGAGACCCTGCCTCCCCAGCAGCTGTTGGGGGCACCATGGAAATGAACTGGCCTGAGTCTGTGGCTCAGGCCTTCCCAGAAGTCTAGCTTCTCAATAATGGGAGGTCAAACATGTCTCCCCAGAAGGTTTGGAGGGGCGGTCGAAAACTGCTGTAAGGCCTCTGGGACACCACAGCTCCTTAGGGCATCTATCCATTATCCATCTATCTTTTTTTTTTTTAAGAGTTATAAAAATATTTTAGTGCCTTTTCTTCCCTGTTTTATATGATACATTTGGGGATTCATTGGAGGTAGTGTTTCATTCGGTGAACCTGGCAGTTTCAACCCTCAGGCACAAAGGAAATGGAAATGTCTGGAGATGTCTGAAGGGTTGTGTTTTACTTTCTCTTTTCCTTTTCTTCTTTTTCAGGAAAGCTATTAGGTCTTAGTCTGGCTGCCAGATTATAATACTTCTCGGCAGCTTCGTTGAGGCTAGCCTGTCTGAGCATGTGGGCAGCACTGAAGACCACATCAAACTCTGTGCTGTCCAACTCAGCTGCTTTTTTTGCCATCTCAGCGGCTTCTATAAGGCGAGCTTCTTCCAAGAGAAACTGACCATAATATATGTAACAGTTTCCTTTGGTGGGATCCAGCTCAATAGCCTTCAAGAAGAACTTTTCAGCCTCACTCTTACGTTCTTAGTTTCTTAGGTTCTCGGCCCCTTTTGTCATTTGACCCAGCTTTTGATGAATTACCACATTATGCTTTGTTAAAAGAACTCTTAATTCAGATCTTTAGTACACCACGGTATCATCCCAAAAGCCAACCATTTGTGGACCATGTGTTTACTTTCACCATTTTGGATAATAGGATATGGTTTTGGAACTTTCAGATCATAGAAGAAGATGCTGCTCTTGTAGTAATAGGACCTCGTTTTGTCTTAAATCTCATAAAGATTTTCCAGGGAAGTTTTGGAGGACAAACTTTATATGAAAATCCTCACTACCAGTCACCAAACATGCATCGGCGTATCATAAGATCCATCACAGCTGCAAAATACAAAGAGAAACAACAAGTGAATGATGCACAGAAAATGAAAAAGAAAGAACCAAAGACTATTCTTCCACACTATCCCACTGCTGATGTTTTTGTTATACCAGCTGATGAAAAGCCAATAGAAATACAGTGGGTAAAACCAGAGCCAAAAGTGGATTTGAAGGCAAGAAAGAAAAGGATTTACAAAAGGCAAAGAAAAATGAAACAGAAGATGAACAGTGGCAATGCAAAATGAATCAGTGGATAACCAACTTTTCAGTAATTTTATATTTATTTTGTATTCAGTGTGTAAATATGGTTTTATTATCCAGGACTACCTTACATCTCATTAGTGTGGCGTTTAAGACAGAAAAACCAAATTAAACTTCGTGGCTTCAAAAAAAAAATAGACTATGTATCGCCCTTTGTTAGGTAGACATAAACTTTTCCTGCACGAAGCCTTGCTTATAGAGGATGCCCAATAAGGCGAGAACAAGCATCGTAACTTGTGCTTCAAGAGCGCAATATTTTTCTCTTACCAGTACAGAAGAATCATTTCTGTGTAACTTGATCTTCTGTCCAGTACTTGTCTTTTAGGTAACCAACACTGACAACTTTGTCGTGGTAACTACCAAAGAAATACATAGTAAAAGAATCTTTTATTTCCAAATTTATTAAAGAGCCAGCCATTGACACTGCTACATGAGTTCCATGCTCAATAGCCATTGTAAGAGATTAAGGGGTTTTTAGGTTTTCGTTTCTGGGTGGTTGTTTTTTTTTTCTACTTTTTTTTTTTTTTTAACATACACACAGCTGTTAGCATGACATTATGGGGAGCATTTTCCAGAATGCTCAGCAGTCGTGGTTTACTGCCAAGCCCTGGTTGCCTCTCGGGAGGCGGTAGAAGGAATCCTACGTTCGTGATAGCGCGGGCGCTGTGTGTGTGCACGTGTGTGTGTGCATTCATGCCTTAACTCGGGTTACTGCTCAACTTCAGTTCTCGACTCGGTCTGCACCGTCATCGAGATTGTATTGTACATCTTGATCTGAACTTCATCCTGGCAAAAACAAGGTTGCAGACACAACAGTTTAAGAATGCATTCCTCTGGAAGAGTTTTTGGTCAGGTTGACCTTGAGCCTTTGAACTTTATTTGGGACTTAGCACGGAAAGCAAAAGTGGACCGTCAAATGGGAAGACATCAGCAAGGAAGAGAGGAGAGCCCAGTGCTAGCATGTCTTTTGCCTCTGCATCTCCGTGCACACTGTGTGTTGTTCATGATAGCTTGTTTACAACTTGACTATGTTGGAGTTCTGGTAATAGTGGCAATCTTGACATTGGTCAGAGTTTAGACAGATGTAAGACTTCCAATTAATGTCTTATTTACTTCATGTTGATTAGTCTTTGATACATGTGCTGAATCCGAAAACTAAATAAAGATAATTTTTTTAAATGCAAAAAAAAAAAAAAAAGGAGAGATGGCCAGGGTGCTAGACATCATGGAGATGGAAGTAAATGTAGCCTCAGCCTGAATTTCTTGGTTTGAAGGTCGCAAAATATAGGACCGTTTGCCTGGTTTAGGGTGTGGCTACAAAGACATACATGTTGTGCCCGTGTGCTCGCCCTATGTATTGTACTGTATATGTAGAATCTAGATTTATATACTGCAATGTGAATTTTTTTCCTTTTTTAAAGACAATGGAAACTCCAAGTAGATAAAACATAGCCTCATTTATTTAATGCCACTTTAAATGTCTTAAATTTGTTTCCTGGTAGACAGCCGGATAATGCTTTTAGCTGCTTGCATGCTTGTCTTTCTGCATCTCCATCACCTGTTTACCTTTTGGTTAAACTAATAAACTGGTTTGGGACTTGGTTGGCATGTGCTGCCAGACCCAAAAAAAAAAAAGTGAGTAAATTTGAATCTCTCAGTCCAATACATAAGTATGGGCAGTGGCAAGGCTCTGAGCTTTAATCTGAGACCCGAGTCCTCCTTTAGGGAACCTTTAAATGAGCCCTCAGATTAGGGAGTTTAGCAGCTAGCTCCAGCCTTGGTGTTGAGAGATAGTGGAGAGTGTAGGTACTTTTCACTGGGAAAGCATCTTTCGGGACCTTCAGCTCACAAGGAGTCTGTCATGGGGATGGGTTTCGCACACCCTCTCCACAGTTGTGGATGTGAAAGATGATGGGACCTACTGAGTGCTGAGGAATTAGCGTTCCTTGAATGAAACTTTCAGCTAGACCCTCCCAGGTGAGAGGAATTTCCTAGCTCCATATTGGACTAGAGACCCAATGACACTCAATATCCTGAACCATGGGTCCATGGGTCCTGTAACGGCAGCTTTCCACTGGCCTCTACAGGAAGGGCTTGGGAAGCCAACTCCTCAGGAAGTTTGGAGGGGCCCTGTAAGGTCCTGTCCAACTGTAGGGTTCATAAGCCTTCCTGAAGTGCTTGGTGCTTCCATGAGACAAGTCGAATCTCCCAGTCACCAGTTTCTCACCTTACAGAGTTGGAACATGTGTCTTAGCATTGGTGGCAAAGCCATAAGAAGGAGGCTACTTTCCTCTGAGGACAAAAATCTCTCTGACTAAGCTTACCACTAGGCCTCTTCCAGAGATGTGTGAGACCCTGCCTACACAGCAGCTGTTGAGGGCACAATGGAAATTATCTGGCCTGAGTTCTGAGGCTCAGTCTTTCCCGAAGGCTAGTTTCTCAATGAAGGGAGTTCAATCTGTCTCCCATCAAGGTTTTGAGGATCGTCCAAAGGCACTGGAAGGCCTCTGGGACACCACAGTTCCTTGAGGGCAGCTCTCCACTGGCCCCTTCCGAGAGAAAAGTCAGACCTCTCAGTCCACTATAAAAGCCTGGAGATTGGCAAGGCTGTTGGCGCTTGTCTGAGAACTAAGCACTCTCTGATGTAACCTTTCAACAAGCACTCAGATATGAGGGAGGTTAGCAGATACCTCCAGCCTTGGTGGTGGAGGGCCATTGGAGGGGTCAGAGACTTTTCAGAGAAAGCAGATTTCCTGGCCTTTAGCTTACAATGAGTCTGTCAATGGGGTGACTTAGCACAACATCTCCATAGTTGCTGTGGAGGTGAAAAGTCAATGTGACCTACTGATGCTAAAGAACTAGCGTTTTGTGAATGAAACTTTCAGCTAGTTGCTTCTAGGTGAGAGGTATGCCCTGGGTGCACCTTAGGCTAGAGACCCAATGGGTCTCTCTGTCCTGAACACTGGGGCCAAGGGTCCCCTGAGGGCAACTTTCCACTGCTCTATCGAGGAATGGCTTGAAAACCCAGCACCTCAGGAAGTCTGGAGGGGCTTTGGAAAACCCTGTCCACCTCTAGGAGACATAGGCCTTCCTAGAGTGCATCATTTGTCTAGGTTCTCTCACCCCAGGGAGTTGGAACATGTGTCTCTGCAATAGTGGCAGCACCTAGTGAAAGCAGGCGACATTCCTCTGAGGAAAAAACTCTCCCTGACTAAGATCACCACTAGGCCTCTCCCAGAGGCCTGTGAGATTCTGCCTCACCAGCAGCTTTGGGGCGCAATGGAAATAAGCGTGGTGTGAGTTCTAGGCTCCGGCCTTCCCAGAAGGCTAGCATCTTAATAAAGGGAGGTCAAACGTGTCTCCTCAGAAAGTTTGGAGGGGCGGTCCAAAACAGCTGTAGGGCCTTTGGACACCACAGTTCGTTGAGGGCAGGTCTCCACTGGCCACTTCCATGAGACAAGTCGAATCTCCCAGCCAAGCAGGCATGTCTGGGTAGTGGCAAGCCTCTGGGCTTCAGTCTGAGAACCAAGCCCTCCCTTAGGGAAACTTTAAATGAGCCCTCACAGCTGAGGGAGTTTTGAAGCTAGCTCCAGCCTTGGTGGTGGAGGGGAAATGGAGAGTCTAGGTACTTTTCAGTGAGAAAGTAGCTTTCCTAGTCTGTAGCTTACAACGACTGTATAATAGAGGTGAGTTAACACACAATCTCCACAGTTGATGTGGAGGTGAAAAACCCATTTTACCTCCTGAACACAGGAACTAACATTTCTTTTTTTTTTTAATTTTTTTTAATTTATTTATTTATGATAGTCAGAGAGAGAGAGAGAGAGAGAGAGAGAGAGAGGCAGAGACACAGGCAGAGGGAGAAGCAGGCTCCATGCACCGGGAGCCCGACGTGGGATTCGATCCCGGGTCTCCAGGATCGCGCCCTGGGCCAAAGGCAGGCGCTAAACCGCTGCGCCACCCAGGGATCCCAGGAACTAACATTTCTTGAATGAAATTCAGCTTGCCCCTCCAAGGTTAGATGTATGCCTGGCTCCACCTTAAGACAGAGACCCAATGGCACTTGCTATCTTGAACCCTAAGCCCAAGGGTCCCACGAGGGCAGCTTTCCAGGCCTCTCTACGAAGGACTTGAGAAGACATCCCCTTATGAAGTTTGGAGGGGAGTGATAGCCGTGTCTACCTCTAGGTGACATAGGCATTCCTGGAATGCACAGTGTGACTAGCATTGCACCTCAGGGAGGTGGGACATGGGTCTCAGTAGTGGTGATGGAGCGAAGGGAAAGCAGGCTATATTCCTATGAAGACAAAGCTGCCCCTGACTAAGCTCACTACTAGGCCTATCCCAGAGGCCTGTGAGCTGCCTACTCAGCAGCTGTGGGGGCACAAAGGAAATGAGAAGGGCCGAGTTCTCAGGCTCAGGCCTTCTCATAAGCTATGTACCCAATGAAGGGAGTTTAAACCTGTCTCTCCTGAAAGTTTGGAGGGGTGGTCCAAAAGCACTATAGGGCCTCTGGGACACCAGAGTTCCTAGAGGGCAGGTCTCCACTGGCCTTTTCCATGAGGAATTCGAATCTATCAGCCCAGCCCAGCAGACAAGTCTGGACAACTGCAAGGTTCTGCCTTCAGTCTGAGAACCAAACCCTCCATTAGGGAATTTTTTCTTTTTCATTGGAGTTCAATTTGCCAACATATAGCATATCATCCAGTGCTCATCCCATCAAGTGCCCCCCTCAGCGCCCATCACCCAGTCACCCTGTCCCCCCGCCCACCTCCCCCTCTACCACCCCTTGTTCGTTACCCAGAGTTAGGAGTCTCATGTTCTGTCACCCTCACTGATATTTCCCACTCATTTTCTCTCCTTTCCCCTTTATTTTCTTTCACTATTTTTTATATTCCCCAAATGAATGAGACCATATAATATTTGTCCTTCTCCAATTGACTTATTTCACTCAGTATAATACCCTCCAGTTCCGTCCACGTCG